AGTGCAAACAGGGGAAAGCACTAAATTTGACTCCCTATAAATGTCCAAAAACCCATAAAACATGTACATGGGGGGTACTGTTGTACTCATGAGACATTCTGAATATGAATGTGTATTTTATTTCGGTAAAATCTAACAGTATTATGACATTCACAGTTAAAATGTAATGTAGAGCTTGAAAAATAACAATTTTCTTAATTTGTCATACTTTTTTAGATTTTATTAATATCAAATTATGTAATCTGAAATGGGTGCCCTCTTTCTTCTGAACAAAATTATGTGTAGGTGCATTATGGTTGTACCACATATAGCTCAAATTCCAGGTTTTGTTTTGAGAGAAAAAAAATAAATAAAAAAAATTATATATATATATATATATATATATATATATATATATATATATATATATATATATATTTATTTTTTTTTTATTTTTTTTATTGAAGGCTTGGCCTGTAGTTGTGGGAGGGGCTTAAATTACCTTTAAAAGGGCTGCCAATCCACTCCCACCTTACCGTTGCTGGTCTGGTGAGTCACCCCTCCCACCACTCCCTCTATTCATAAACACCCTCTAAGGTAGGCCCACTTTTATTACAGGCCTACTGCTTTGTTGGTTCCGGCACACCACAGCCGACTGGTTCCAACTCATTGATGTTATGGTTATTATATGCTAGATTTCTGTATACGGCTATATTGCCCCGACTGCAATATATATATATATATATATATATATATATTGTGTGTATATTTTGCTATCATGTATTAAATCTTTGTTCTGTAGATATAGATAGATATATATACACATTTTCAGTTAGAACGAAATTACACGTGTGTGTGTGTATATATTTATATATATTTTTTATGGATTTACATTTTTATTTATTTTATATATATTTAATCCATATCATTCTACGTATTTTGATATTAATATATAATATATATTCAAAATACACTTAGACTGTGTGTGTGTGTATGTATGTATGTATGTGTATGTATATATATATATATATATATATATATATATATATATATATATATATATATATATATATGTGTGTGTGTAGAAAAACAGAGAATGACCGCACTCAGGGACTTGTAAATATCACTAAAACTTAACTTTTAATGTTCAAAATAAATCAAATAAACGTTTCAGCCCCATATTTGGGCTTTCAGCAGGATGGTAAAAACACAGACATGATTCAAGCTAGGGGGGTTGGGGGGGGAGAAATTCCAAAAAAATGAAATACATATTCAGAGGGATCTACTAACATATAAAGAAAAGGCAAGCCCAGCATATGAACTGGTGCTCAACATTGCTAAGTTTTAGGAAAAATATTTTTTATATACTTGCCGATATACACTTTGTGTGCCTGCAAATAGAGAGGCAAAATGTCAAGTCCGAACTCTGAATGCATGGACTCCAAACACACAATGAGGGTATGAGAAGGATAAAAACAAAGTGAGGAGTGTAATTCATAATTGTAACAAAACAAATCAGGGATGTCATAATAGACACACATATTTCAATTAGAAATTTAGCACACTGTATCCTGGTAGAACAAGCTATACCCACATCACAAGAAGTCTAGCAGAACAAAGATTTAATACATGATAGCAAAATCCCTATTGGCAGAGAAGTGACAGCAAAACAGGAAAAGCAAAAGTACACATAGTAAATATAATGACGGTGTCAAAAGTAGCCTTTACCATCTGAAGAAAACAAGATCCCTAAAGCAAAAAAAATTTTTTTAAATCAAAAATAATAGTGAGACTAAAGTACATTCTTGAAAAGACAATGAACAATATCATCGAATACATATGGTTCAAAATAGCCGTCGGACCACAATAGACAATTTAAGGGGATTAACACCTAAATCAAATCTTCAAAAAACTGCAAAGGAACATATTAAAGAAACATAGAAAAAGATCTTTTCATTCAAGCCTCTTGGCCACACTGTGTCTAATGTCCTTATCCTAAAGGTTTCCCATTGGAGGAGGGCTTTTTTACGGTCACCTCCCCATAGTGGGGGCGAGTTGTGATCAATGGCTATAAATTTAAGAGTAGGCAAGGGATGACCCATTGCCAAAAAGTGCTTAGCCACTGGGAGGTCAGCTTTGTTGTCCCTATAAGCGACTCTAATGTTCGACCGGTGATTCCGAATTCTTTCTCGTAAGGGAAGATCAGTCTTCCCAATATACGATAGTCCACAGGGGCACTGAAGATTATAAATCACAAAATCGGTTTTACATGTCAACCGATGATGTATATTGTATTTCTTTCCCGTGTGGGGGTGCAGAAAGATCTTGCCCGGGATCATATGGCCACACCTAACACAACCCAGACACCGATAGCAACCCAGGTTAGCAGTCTGTTGTTTAGTAGTATAGCAGTGTCTGGGGTCAGTCTTCACAAGAAGATCACGGAGATTACAACCTCTCCTATAGCACATCATGGGTGGCTGGTGAAAATCAGTTGGTAAGGAGGGATCATTGGCCAAAATCTTCCAGTAGTTATTCACAGATTCCTTAATTTTAGGCGAAATGGTTGAGAAGGTACTCGGGAATACAAGTCTAGGCAAGTTGCGTGTGTCCTTAACACTATGAGACTGACATCTCTCCCATGCTTTTTGCAGTGTAACTTCATTGTAGCCTCTTTCCTTGAATTTATTCCACATGTCTTTTATCTGTGTCTGAGCGTTCAGAGAATCAGTTGTTCCTGAGTACCCCATCAGGGCTTGCAACAAGAGTGAGCGTAACTGGTGTTTCCATCTCATTGATTGCATTTATCGCTGTAGTGATGGAGTTGATATCCCCCTTCCAGTTGAAGAATAAATCATCAATGAAGCGTCTGTAGATAAGAATATAATCAGAATAGGGTTTCAAAATATGTTGTTGTTCAAACTGAAACATATAGCTATTGGCATAGTTCGGTGCCATCGCAACACCCATTGAGGTGCCCGAGACCTGGTGAAACCAAGAGTGTTCAAAACGGAAATAATTGAGCACGAGTACCAATTCAAGTAACTCAAGGACAAACTCGATTGGGCCATGATATACCATGGAATTGCTTAGGGTAGTGCGCATGGCCTTGACGCCAGCCTTATGTGGTATTATCGTATAAAGACTTTTGACGTCACATGTTGCCAAGATGATTGGGCCCTCCGGGAGGGTAATACAATCGAGCTGGTTTAGCAAATCCGCTGTGTCCTTGAGACAGGTGGGGATGTTCACAATAGACTCTTTAAAGGGACACTCCAGACACCCAGACCACTTCTGCCCATTGGAGTGGTCTGGGTGCCAACTCCCACTACTCTTAACCCTGCAAGTGTTGTTATTGCTGTTTTTTTATAAACTGCAATAATAACCTTGCAGGGTTAACTCCACCTCTAGTCTACTAGACAGCCACTAGAGCGCACTTCCTGGTTTCTAGCTGGACGTCCTCAAGCTGTGTGAGGACCTCCAGCGTCTCTCATTTCCCCATAGGAAAGCATTGAAATGCCTTTTCAATGCTTTCCTATGGGGAGCGCTAATGCTCATTAGGTCTCCCCGGCCGGTGGGTGGGATCAGTCTCAGGTAAGTTTTTCATCCCTTCAGTAACCGGGGAGGGAGAGGGGACCTGCAGTGCCAGGAAAACTGATTGTTTTCCTGTCTAACCACTTGGCAATGGGTTCTATTACACCCCCCCACCCCCCACCGCGGTGAATAAGATTTTTGTGAACTTTAGGAAGAGTATAGATAATCGGGGTTTTTGGTGTTTGTTGAATCAGAAATTTAAAAAGATCCTCATTGATATAACCCGCCTCCAATCCATGTTGCAGGATAGTAGATACCCTTTGTGTGATCACTGCAGTAAGATCAGAAGGTAGTCTTACATACGTGTGGGTTTCTTCCAGCTGAGACAGCAGTTCTCTTCTATAGTAAGAGTAATCCAGAATTACTATACCCCCTCCCTTGTCAGCAGGTCTGATGACTATAGTCTTGTGATTGGCCAAAAGCCGAATGATTTCCCTCTCCTTTTTAGTAATATTAGACTGGTAACTCTGTTTAGCATTAGTCAGTGTGTTCATCTCAAATGAACTCAAAAAGGTTTTGATAGAAGCATGGGGGTTCATAGGGTCAAAGGTGCTTTTGACTTTAAACTGTTGGCTGGGCTGTGTCACTGTAGTGGGGGACCCTTTAAAAAAATTATTTGAGGCGTAAGTTCCTCCCAAATGTATACAACTCAACCTCGTAGTTAAATGAATTAGGAAGGTTGGTAGGGACAAAGGATAGTCCTTTCATGAGGAGATGTTGCTCTTGCTGACTCAGGGTCCTCGATGACAAATTGTAGATGGTAATCATTTGGGTGGACGAGGAGGTTTGTACATTGGCCCCATGGGGTCTCCCTTTTTTGCCCACGCCTGGTGTGATGCCTTCGGCTTCTAGTCGTGAAGTCAGCCTCATATGTATCCGAGATGATGTCCCTGGGCCTAGTTAAAAAAAAAAAAAAAAGGCAGAGTCTGTATGTTCTGGTGCTCTGGGTATTGACTGGGTGTCAGACTCTGAAGATGAGTTACCTGAGGTGTGATCAATAGTAAACTGCCTAGGTTTCCTGGTGGGTTTCCTACGTCTGTGTGGAAACGGTCTCACTCTGACTTGCAAGCCACTTATAGACATGATGTTCTTTGTAGTCACCCTCTACTTTGGCTTGTTTGTCACGTTTAAAGCGGATAAGATCAGTTTTATACACTGTATAGTATGTATGTATGTATGTATGTATGTATATATATATATATATATATATATATATATATATATATATATATATATATATATATATATATATATATATACACATATACATACATACATACATACATACACAATACAAACATTTTACAGTGTATAAAACTGATCTTATCCGCTTTAAATGTGACAAACAAGCCAAAGGAGAGGGTGACTACAAAGAACATCGAGTCTATAAGTGGCTTGCAGGTCAGGATGAGACCGTTTCCACCACACAGATGTGTGTGTGTGTGTGTGTGTGTGTATATATATACACACACACACACACACACACACACACACACACACACACACACACACGGTCTCATCCTGACCTGCAAGCCACTTATAGACTCGATGTTCTTTATAGTCACCCTCTTCTTTGGCTTGTTTGTCACATTTAAAGCGGATAAGATCAGTTTTATACACTGTATATGTATATGTGTGTGTTTGTGTGTGTATATATATATGTGTGTGTGTGTGTATGTAATATATATATATATATATATATATATATATTACACACACACACCGTAGTAGCTTGCACTCCAAGAAGACTTTTGTAGTGCTGGTTGTGGATGTTTCAGCTCCAACATGGAGCTTTCATCAGGACAGGTAACATGTAACAAATGTGCAGACACGAGAATATATACCCCAGATCCCTCCAAAACAAACTGAACAATTAAATATGCACCACTGGAGTGTATTTACTGAATCAGTGTTCGGATGTAGCACAGCTGGCCATGGCTGACTCCCACTCTGCCCTTGTATCTGCATAATTGGGGCTCAGAGGGAAGGGGGAAGGGGAGTGTTTGTGTTCCAACCATTTGCCCGACAATAGCCAATATGCATGGTTTGAGGTTGCCATGATTACAAACAGAACTTTAACTCTCATCATCCTTAGCCAGCAGTGTTGCTCGGGTAATTGATTCAGTAGTGTAAAAAAAAGCTTGTATACAAAGAAAGTTACAAAGCAGTGAATTACTAAAAACAAATACTCGCAGGACAAGATGGTGAGTCACAAAGCTAACAAATTATTAGTATAATAGACTGATAGAATGCATCTTATCTACAAGTTTAAGGGAAGGGCTTGGTGGGAATAGCGACAGAGTACCACCAACCTTATAGTAATAGCTTATACTGGCACTGTTTTTAAGTGGCAATAAGGTTTTAGTGCTAAGACAACATACCCTCAACAGAATAGCTATCACAGGGTAATAGCAATAGGAATGAGTTGGTGCAAGACTCGACACATAGTGACAGTGTAGTGAACTATTTGAAAATAGTAACCTGATTTAATAGTACATATTAGGTATATTGAGCTGGACACATAATGACAGGGTATTGTCAATACAGTAGCTAACACATGTAGCAACAATTACTGTACATGTTACCTGTCCTGATGAAAACTCCAGGTTGGAGCTGAAACGTTGATATTTTATATGGAATAAATAAAAGCTAAATTGTACTACTTCAAGTCCCAGGAGTGCAATTTTTTTATATATATTCTATCCATATCCCTGCACTCACACTTGAAAAATTATCCAATACCAGTCGCATCACCAGAGCTCCAATAGATAAAATCCAACAAGTAAGGCTGCTCTCCGGACTTAAAACGAAAATGTATTGAATAATTATTAAAAATAACGACAAACGTTTCGGTCCCCACTCAGGGTCAAAAAGACAACAACATACTGTGCACACAGTGCCCATATATACCATCAAAATCAAAGAGACTCACCCAGGTGTTCTCCTCCCTGTTCCCGCCGGCACCGAGTGGACTTCCGGGTATGCACGCGCACCATAATGCATGCCCTGCCCCCTCAACTTGCGTGCTTACGTGTTAGATGGCCCATCACCAAGGCAACGCTATAAACATCACCCCTCGTGTGTATGAAAGTAGTAACCAAAGGAGGAGATGCACTGTGGCTTAAGAGCAGTGAACATACTTTGTGCAGAACGTCTACATGAGACTAAAGAGACAGTCAAGCTGAAAAACAGCTATAAACCAGCAAATGTCTCAAAAGCTAATCCTTAATATGTCCAACCCAATACCTTGTTGACATAAAGATGTGATTAGCCAAGATTATGATCTAAGTATATATAATTTGATTTTACACTGTTTAAACCTTTTTTTTTTTTTTTTTTAAGGCAGCAGGGGAATTACCTGTCATTGCAGGCACTCCCCCCTGCTGGCATTGTTATGGACGGCTATGCGTCCATGTGATCGTGAGGTCCTCACAAGGACCTCGCGATCACACGGCCCAGGGGGGCCAAAACGGACGAAGGGGGACTCCCTGGGCTGCCAGGTGAGTCCTCACACCGCGATCGTCGCCGGCAACTGGGTAAATAGAAAGGGCAGTGGGGACGTGCTATGCCGCTCCCCGGCGTTTAGAGCCAGGTCCCTAAGGATTGCATAGCCCGCCGTCCTTAAGGGGTTAATCATCACAGAGAGGCCAACACTCAGTGACAAACCTAACCAAAGGGCCAAATCATAGGTAGAGCCTCTCCTTGCTATTCGGCAACTAGTTAGGTTCCCAATTTAGCTTAAAGGGACACTATAGTCACCAAAACAACTTTAGCTTAACTAAGTCCCACTGCTCAATTCTGTCAGTTAGGAGTTAAATTGCTTTGTTTATGTGGAACTAGACGCACAGCCTTCCTAAGCACTTCCTGTAAAGAGACATCTAATGTTTACACTACTTTTATTGTAAATTATGTTTAGTTTAACATTTCTTATATCCTATTCTGTTAATAGCGTGTTAGACCCCGAAGAAGCCTCCTGTATGTAATTAAAGTTCAAATTACATCTGACTTAAAATTTAATTATTTTGTTTCCATGCAGACTGTGTGAGTCACAGTCAGGGGATTTGTGGCTGGGACTGCATAAACAGAAACAAGTGATTTAACTCCTAAAGGACAGTGAATTGAACAGTGAAACGTCAGAGTCATGATCTATACACCAAAAGTGATTAAGCTAATACATTTGCTTTGGTGACTTTAAGTGTCCCTTTAATTGTTTTGCCACTTGGCATAACATAGGTAAGCTTGTAGCAATAGGAATGACAGAGGGATGGAGACTAAGAATAAGGGATTTTAGTGGCTATAAGCATTCTGCTAATTCGTTTCAGGTTCATATTTCTTAATTTTTTTTAAATGTATTTTGCAGTGGATAAAAGTAGAACAGACAAGCCTGAGGTACCCCAACGGCAATCCTCAAGCACAGCATCACGAAGTGTAATTGGGGTAATAGAGGAGACATGCAACTTTTTATAATATAAGAAGCAGAAACCGTATAAGAGGAGTTAAATCTGGGAGACAAAAGATATGTAGATTAACGTTAAACAGGGAAAACTCCTAAGTGTGGCAGCCGCTTTGGTATAGCGGTGAGTACATTGAGTGGGTATGCGCCCTTCTGCGCTGGTGTTTAATGCCAGATGTACGCCTTGCGTGTGTGTGTTTCACATCTGCCCACAAGCTACAGCTTTTAAGTTACCACGTTCATGATTTGTCTGTTAGCAGTTAAAATACTAACACCCATATGTATGTTTCTGAACTCTCTATGGGCATAAACATGCACAGGGATAGAAAGCAGGTAGGTATGCCGATTTTAGGTGGGTAGTTAGTCATGTGAGCATGTGAATGCAGTGTGTATATAAAGAATGCAGGGTGTGTTTGTGTAGTGTGTATAGTGAACCCAGGGTGTGTTTATGTAGTGTGTATAGTGAATGCAGAGTGTGTTTGTGTAGTGTGTGTAGTGAATGCAGGGTGTGTTTGTGTAGTGTGTGTAGTGAATGTAGGGTGTGTTTGTGTAGTGTTTGTGTAGTGTGTGTGTGTGTGTGTGTAGTGAATGTAGGGTGTGTTTGTGTAGTGTGTGTGTTTGTGTGTAGTGAATGCAGTGAGTGTTTGTGTAGTGTGTGTGTATAGTGAATGCAGTGAGTGTTTGTGTAGTGTGTGTAGGAGCACTATAGGGTCAGGAACACAAATATGTAGTCCTGACCCTATAGAGTTAAAACCACCATCTAGCCTCCCTAAATATAGTAAAATCTTATTTGCATTCAAGTCTGCAGCTGCATGCTTTGTACATGTTTTCTTTAGACCTGTCCACTGCCTGCTGACATCAGCAGAAGTGGTAGCCTGATCCAATCACAATGCTTCCCCATAGGATTGGCTGAGACTGACAAAGAGGCATATCAGGGGCAGAGCCAGCATGATTCAAACACAGCCATGGCCAATCCGCATCTCCTCATAGAGATGAATTGAATCAATGAATATCTATGAGGAAAGTTCAGAGCCAGCGGAACTAGTGCCCTGTGAGGGGGCAGGTTCGTTCGCAGTGGTTGGACAGAAATTAGCCGTATGAGCCATGGAGGAGCAGTATGCACAAGCCGGCGTTCTTAGACCTGCGAAGTGTCTGCAGAAAATGACCGTATCATTCTTGCTCCAGTTGGACCTTGTCCCGTACTGGGAGAAAGCGCCAGACACCTTGGCAGAAAAAGATCTGTGGTAATCATAGAAAGCTGACCCACCATATTTGTTGCCCAGGTCCACCAGCTTGTGCATATACAAATCAAACTCCTCACGTCTGTGTGGACATACTGCACAGATAACATCACGATAAATGCCAACACAAATTCAGGGATGGTCAGTTTCCTGTTTAATCGGGCATCCCTAGATTTGACCACCACAGAAATATAATCGTAAGCGTAAGTCTTATGTTCCACCACATCCTGAAAGGCAATCAGCAATGAAGCCAAGTTGACATCTTTACCTTCCAGGATATCTCTTTTAAGGTACTCAGGTATCATATGAGCAGGGTTAACCTCTTGATCGTCAGAGGTGGTGGCTGGAGAAACTGATTGCAACTCGACCATTGCTGGAGGGGTCGCAGCGGCCGGCCCAGCCATGGTAAAGGCTGTGGTGACCGATTTCTAGTTTCTCCAGCCTGGAATTGACCTTGCTCATGGATGCCACAAGGGATGAGAGCATGCCGTGTATGTCTCCTGGGTTAGACTGGCTAGTCCCTTCCCCGGCATCAATGTGTTCGGTAGAGGTGTGCAGTAACTTGTAGAGTTCCACTTTCCTTGCTGTTGCGGGGAACGGGATATGCCGTCTCCTGAGTTCATTGGTTATGCGAGGGATTGTCCATGACCTGAAAGATGCTGGACTAGCCACCTCTCCTCCCTGTGATGGGGAGTTTGCTGTAGCCGGGGTGCCCGGTAGGGAGAAATCTTCTACCCCTTCTTGAGACATACTAAATGACAAAATATTGTGGTTAGTGTATGGAACCCAGGGGTGGTACTGGCAGGCTAACTA